AAAAAATATTAAATAAAATTAGTCCCAGCACTGATCACCTGAAGGGTAATGAGACTGGACTATTGTCTCATGTTAATAACCAAAGTCAAAGACTAAATAATTAGATAAATAAGCTCCCCTTTGGGGGCGCCTGGGTGGCTCAGTCATCAAGCATCTGCCTTTGGCTCAGGTCATCATCCCAGGGTCTTGGGATCGAGCCCTGCATCAGGCTCCCTGCTCAGCGGGGAAGCCTGCTTCTCCCTCTCCCACTCCCCCTGCTTGTGTTCCCGCTCTTGCTGTCTCTCTCTCTCTCTCTCTCTCTCTAATATATAAATACATAAATAAAATCTTTAAAAAATAAATAAATAAGCTCCCCTTTAGCTATGTGCATATTTTAACCCCTAAAAAAAATACCGGGACTTCTTCCAATAGATTTTATTTAATGTTTAGTAAGTTTATTCTTAAGCTTTGGAATATTTCACTGTTTTCCTTATACAAAGAAACTAATCTGCAGAACCCAGGGTCTACGTTAGGGCTAAACTCCTACAAAATCCTGGTTTTCCTCCACATTTCTCTCTTTCCAACCTCCAATTCTTCACTCCCCTTTCTCTGACTACCCACTATATATGAAGGCTTGTAGTTCAGATCCCAAATCATTCCTGTTCCATCATTCTACCTTTCATGTTCCATTTTAAGTATATATATATATATATATATATATTATTTAAGTAAGCTTCTGTCCTTTTTACTTACTTGAAATACAGTGTATCAATACTTGATTACCACCCCTAACTGAAGAATCTTGCCCAGAATAGAAAGACTGGATCTTATTCCTATTATAGGAGTCTTCAAATAAAATAAGGAAGTCGTAATTTGAAGACAATCCTAGACCAATAAGCCTATTTCAAAAAATTTTTTTTTCAAAATTACCTTCCTCACTGCTTATTATTAGCTTTGATAAAAGATTATTGTATGACATCTCATCAAAGCAAAGGTAAATTTAATTTTGGTGTTAAACATCACATGAGCAAAAGGCTTATGGACTTTTTAGAGAAAATCTTACTCTACTGTACTTGGCAATAAGTATCATGATTATGGTCTCTCTCAAATCATTCCTTAGGATTTTTCACCTACATGTACAATAAAGACTAATACTCAGTTAAACTACTCAGATGTAAATTTACCCAACATTAACATGAATCAACAGTCCAGCCAGTTACCAGTCCAGATTACCAGATTCAAAAGCCCTCTCTCCATTACCCACTAACAAGTAAGACAGTTGGCTAACTCAGAAAAATAATTTATTGAGTAAGGAAAATGATTCATATTTTCCTTCAGTCATTCTCTAACATCTACATTGAAGCTAAGAAAGTAGTGTGCATGGTCCATACCTACTCAGTCCTTGTATCCATGAATTTTAAATATGAGTAACTGGCAATTCACAACACCATAATTATTTTTAAACATATAAAAAATTGCAACTTAATGAATTGAATAATAATTGGTTATATTTTATTATAACATGGTACTTCTAATGTCTCTTGAAACCATACTTATTTTATTCACATAATTAGATTATGTAATTGATTGAAAGAAAAGATCTGCATGTCTAAGTTCTACAAAATTCCTAAAAGCATTTCATGATTCCAAAAATATCCAATAAATTGTAATAATTTCGTAGTCCTTATTATAATATAGTTAATCAAAAGAAGATTAGGAGTTGGTCACTCTCAAACATTAAAATTCTGTATCAGTGAAGGAAAAATATGATCCTGAAAGCTTTTGATAGCTCCATGTAATGCTTACTTCAGATTAAAGGGATGACCCATGTAGTTATCACCTTAAGTACCTACCAAAAGAATGCCTGCCTGAGATCTGAAACAAAATAGCACTACTCTACTACTAACATAATAAAAATGCTTTTGAGCTACGCTTGTTTCTGATTTTAATCTCTAACCTGTAAAATGGACTCGATTCAATGAAACTCTAAAAATAAGGGCAATTAAAAATATGTGATATACATTTTTTAAATAATTGAAATTCATGTTTAAAAAGAGGCATAAAAAAGTACGCTCATGTATGACAGTAAGAAGTTACATGTTGTGACAGTAGGTAAACGTTTGTGACAGTAGGTAAAGGTGCATGAGAACCAAAGTTAAGGGGACTACAAGCAGAAGAGCTGTTATAAAACCAATAGAGGGGCGCCTGGGTGGCTCAGCCGGTTAAGCGACTGCCTTCGGCTCAGGTCGTGATCCTGGAGTCCCGGGATCGAGTCCCACATCGGGCTCCCTGCTCAGCGGGGAGTCTGCTTCTCCTTCTGACCCTCTTCCCTCTCGTGCTATCTCTCATTCTCTCTCTCTCAAATAAATAAATAAAATCTTTAAAAAAAAAAAAAAAACCAATAGAAGAACCTGATAAGGCAGAACCAAAGAATATGTAGGAAAAGTCCACCACGGTCATTTAAAAAACATTTGCTAAACCACATGTTCGTAACACTTAATTAGACCTGGGTTACAGCAAAGTAAAAAGAACAGAATGTTACAAAATTGGAATTACACAAATTTTATCACTAAAACCTAACAGTATAATGAATGAAGTCATCAAAACATTCACTTAATAGAAAACAAGGTTCAAGGATTTTCTCATGGCTTCATTGATAGAAAGGGATTGTAATGAAAAACATCTTATAAATTCCTGATTTCCTCACCTAAGCTTACCCAGTAAGCCTTTGGAACTCACTGCGTTTTTACTAGGATACCTGCAGATCAATTACTGGCATTTTGATTCTAGAATAATGTCATTGCAACAAGGGTCTCCAGATGACATTGAGAAAAATAGACTCACTCGCTCTAACTTGATATGCATACCTAATTAAAGGTCCAAGATGAGCCGAGGAAGGAGAAAACAAAAAACAAACAAACATGAGGGCATCATCTGCACTAAGAGCCTTGTAAGACAGGCTATTATGTGATCATGTATTTATCTAGGAATTTTTTGTAGCCTCAAAGTGACTTCATTAATAGCAAAGAAACAAATGGGCACACAAGTGTCTGTATACATCTAATGAGCCATAAAGAACAGTGTCCAATATCTGTTGCACCCTTACTGTGTGCTAAAGAAAGAAACACTTTGAATCCTCACCACTCTCCTATGAGGTAGGTACTTTTATTACCCTCACTCTACAGATGAGGAAACCTAAAGTACACAGTGGTTAAATCACTTGCCAGACATCATAATTTTATTAAGTGGCTGAGATACAAAGTCAGTTGTTCTCTATTACAACTATGATAGAAATTATGTTTTCATAATTATCATGTAATTCTACTATTGCTCTTATTTTTAAAGGTACTAAAACCCATTTTATCATAACAAAACTCCCACACTTACTGAGAATAATACTTTTCATATAATTTACTTTGAAAGTACAGGAGCCTTTGGATTCTGGAGATCTTATAAGCAATTAATTTTTAGCATAAAAATGACAGAACACTAGCCTGCTCTAAGCTCATCTAATATTTTAATCTAGATGACATGACAGTTTGTCTCTTTCCAATGAGAGAGAAATATCAGCACTTCCACTAACAATGAAGCATACTGTTTAAAACTTTTCAATAAAAGCTCATCCAGTTCTACATCATTTCATGTATAAATGTAGTCAACTCAAACTTCCCCATCCTTAGAAGTGAACAACATCACAAATAATCCAAAAAACCATTTATAGTTGGCACTGCGACTCTTTAGTAATAAACAATGTGAATGTGATAATGTAGAAAAACCCTGGACTAGAGTCCAGAGACCTGCCCACCGATCCTGGCTCTGTCACTAACTAGCAATTTAGTCCCTTCCACTGCTCTGGGCATTGGTTTCCTGATCTGCAAAATAATCATCTCCATGGCCTACTCTCCCAGCTCTAAAACAAATGTGACTCTTGTACATACATCTTTTTTCCAAGCTTCCCATTCTCATTCTATTTAGTTATTATCATCAATTTGCAGGCATTAAACATTATTTTTCCTTGGTTCTACAAATGGAGGAAACAGCCCATTTTTAACTAAGGTGATAAGGGAAAGCCTTCAGGACCACTAGTTTACCATAGATGAGTCTCAAGGTGAATAATGTAGAAGCTATTATAATGCTAAAAGGTGTTAGGTTTCAATATTTTAGGCTACTGTTTTGTGTGCCAGTACATTCTCCCTACGGACAAATACTAAAATTCAAGGACAATAGGCAGAAAAAAATGTAATTATCCATCAGTTATTGAAAAACTAAAAAGGTGCCAAATGAAAATATTAGTACTTTTTTGCAGAACATTTTTCTCTGATGAATTACATTACAGTGCAACATATCATCTACAAATTTTCTCAAGTATGTTTTAAGTATTTCCTAAAAAAAAAAGAGGCCTTCCTTTTTTAAACTGTGAGGAATTAGTAAGATAACATACATATGATTAAGAAAAGATTTAAAAGAGGAAAAGATCTAGCTGTGTAATTCTTAGCTTCCTCTTCTCAATGCCATGAAGAACCTCAAAGGGGTGCCAGAGGTAGAATCTGTGGACTGCCACCGCCTGACCCTGGTATGCATTTTCTGTGTTCCTAACCCAGTCTCAAGAGTGTTATGCAAATACAAGGTTATTGAAATTAAACTAAGCATCTGACATTAACAATTCAACTGTTAGAAAGCTCAACTGATTTTAGTATTGCTTTCTAGAGCTGCTACCTTACCAGCATCTTCCCAGTACAATACTCAAAGTTGACCTTGTAAAAACAATTAAAAGCAAGGGAAAGAAAGCATGCGAATTACTTAATAATATTGTAGACTAAAAGTAAGTAGCAAATTCTAATAGCACAGTCAGTCCACTCTAAATGTTAAGTCAGGAAGAAGTAAGCCACAGCTCTAGACTGAGAGACCTGAAGAAAGGATATTCAGCAGATGTAGAGGCGGCTACAAGAATTTAAAGGTACAGTTATGAGCATTTCCAGCAAAACTAGTAACTGGTAAAACACCATCAAACGTGTACGTACATTTTAAAATAAAGGAGAACTGACAAGTTCCAGCAGCAAGCCTCCTCTTGGTTGGAATGCCAAAATAAAATGTCAAAAATCACCTCGTGAATCCAATCCCCCAGCCTTTCAAAGTTCGGAACCAAACCGACATGTGTACTTAAACTGCTTCTTAGCATCCTTCTTTAAATGCAACTCCCTCTCCAGAGAGTCAGTTCGCTTCGGCTACTTGAATGCCCAAATCCCAGCACCAAAGAATCGTAGGAGTCCAAGTAGTTGCAGAAGGGTCTTCCAGCGGCCGCCTGCGCATCCCTTTCCACCTCGGGTTAAACCCCCGGAGGTGCTCCGGTCACTTCCCCATCCAAGCTCCCCAGTTCTCTCATCTCCCAGTGGACCGCTTCTCGTCGACCTTGAAGACCCCCGGAACGGAGCCGTAGAGCGCAAGTGACTTGGCCGGTTGGCCCCTTCCCCGCAGCGCGCGTTAACTGCCCCCCGGTCTCCGGTGGCCTCCCTCCGACCCCTATCACGAATGCCCTCCTACCGGCTGCGAACGACCCCCTTCCCCTTAGGCGCTCCACCTCCCTCCAACCAGAAAAATAATTCCTCAGAAATGCATCGAGAGCCTACTAAGCGCAAGCCCCCACTACGCGCAGCGCGGTCTGCCCAGGGCTCGCGGCCCGGACTCGCCGTCCCCCGCCCGCCGTCTCCTCCCGGCCCGAGGGCCGGCGCTGCCTCTGCCCGGGGTGTGGAGGCGCCGGCCGGAGGCGGACTGCGCCGGGCGCGGACACTGGAGGCCCGGCAGGCGGCCGCTAACGGCGACGCGGGGGCCCGGGAACGGGCGCTGACCGGGCCGGGCGCGGGCCGCGGGGACACTCACCGGTCGGGGCGCGCTGGGCGGCCTCATCCACGGGCACCTGCGGCCAGGCGGACGGGCCCGGACGGCGCAGTCACTGAGAGGGCGAGTCCTCCCGCTCGCCCGCCAGTCCCGTCCCGTCCCCTCCGACTGCCCGATCGAGCGCAGTCCCGTTTCCTCTGGACGGAGCCTGGGGACCCCAGCTCTGCCGGATGCCCCCGCCAGGCCCCCACCCCCTTCCCCGGCCGCCTCCCCCCCTTTCCCCTTTCCCCTCCCCCCCTCCCCCCAACCCCCACCGGAATGGAAAATACCTCCCGGGGCGGGGGGCGGCGGGGGCACGCCTCTCTGAAGGGCAGCCTACCGTGACCAATAGCAGGCGGGGCTCTGGAGGGGCGGGATTCCTAGCGGCCAATCCGGAGGCGTGTAGGTGAAGGCCGAAGGAAGGAGGCAGGGAGCGAGAAGGGGGTGGCCCGGGAGTCGGGGAGGTCCGGCCGCTCGGGTGCGCGCTGTGCGCGGCTGCCATTTTGGAGCCGGGCAGCTGAGACGGCGGCCGGGTCCGGCCCGGGGGAAAGGGAGGAGCCAGTGAGGTAGGAAAGAGGCTGTCACGTGGGATGGAGGGGCGGGGTAAAGCGGCTGTAGCCGGAGGGGAGGGGTCGGAGGCGGCGAGTCACGGGGGCTGAGGGGGGTCACGTGGTCGGAGAAGGGCCCGCGGTGGGCTTGGGGGCGGAAGGTCAACCTGAGGTGGGAGAAGGAAGAAAGCTTTGTGCCTGGTTTCAACTCTGTTAGGGAAAAGGAAAGGAAAAATGATGAATGGAGGGTGTGGGTGGCGGGTCGGAAAATGTGAATGAGTCTCCCTAGCTCCCTCCAGCATGGAGCCACCCAGTCACTAAATTGCAAGATGCACGAGAAACTGGGCACTTCATTTAATTCAGGTAGTCCCATCGCTACTCCTTGCTGTCGCAAACGTGACTCACAGATCTGATGGAGGGGTGATTGTCCTCCACTTTTTGCCTGCACTTTATGTGGAAGGGCCCCCGCCCTAGAAATGGCTGAAAGGGTAAAAGCATAGTTGAGGCATTGTGACGCCAGCAGGACTCTTTACATCTGGCGTTTTAGAAACTGTGTCGTCATTCACAAATTTCCTGGCCACTTCTGTGTTGGACATACCATGATCATGTTCCAATTCCAACGCTTCCAAACTTAAACAAAAACAAAACAAAACAAAAAACAACTTGCCCGTGAGCCCCTGCCTAGCGCTCATCTGTACTTCAATTCATCCTTCAATACAGGCTAAATTAAACTCCCTACTAGTACACTGAAAGTGCTCCTCTTAAGGCTACAGGTGACAGCCATGTGACCAAGTTCAAGGGTCACTTTTTAGTTCTTATTTGATCTCTATTGCAGTAAACTTGATGGACTACATCCCTCTTTAAGCTTTTTCTCCTCCCCGGTGCACCCCTCACCCAGTTTCCCTGAGACTATAAACACTCAGATTGTTAATCTTACTAGATCTGTTTATCTCTTGGCTCTTTAAAAGCTGATCCCCAGTCCTCTCCTCAGTAGGTACATAGTCATTCTACCGCACACTACGTGATCTAACCACTTTGGTGGCTGAGTGTACCTTTAATGAGGTCCAGATCTGCATATGTAAGTGTTTTTGGATTATCTGCACTTGAACCTCATTATCACCTATCCAAATCAGAACTCAAATACACTCAGAAGTCCACAAAACTTGTTCTTTCTCCTCTGTTCCTTATCTTCTTTGGTAATGTCACCATCCACTCACCAAAATCCAGAACCAGGAACCTGGGTGTAATCCTCCATGCTTCTCCCTCACTGCTGTAAATACCTCCCTTACCCTTTCTAACTTTGTCTTGTTGGTTATATTTACTAGATGCCCTTTCCTCTCCAGTTCTACATCCACTGCCTCACCTGGGTCACTTATTCATTAAGCCACTGAGCACTTGTTTGAGAGCTCAGGATACCGTGGTGAACCAAAGCGACAAGGTTCCTGAATGGGGTGAGATAAACAGTATATGAGTAAACTAATAAATGAACAACATAACTCAGGGGGTAATAAGTGCTATGAAGCCAAAAAAAAAAAAAAAAAAAAAACCCGCCACCACCACCAGCAACAACAACCAGGGAAACCTGTAAAAACCTACATTGTTGCCTATCTCTTCACTTCAGATCCTCCCCACCCTCACCCCATATCTTCTCATCCTTTCTTTTTATTCTTGAAGAGGGAATGGCCCTGAGCCTTTCACCTGGAGTCTTAATTTCATTCCCTTTCATCTGCCGTGACTTCCCTCTATATTACAGCTGCCTGAATATGAATCCCTCAACTAGAAGATAAGCTACTTTGAGGGCAGGGATGTACCTTATACATCTTTGTGCCTCCACAGTGCCTTGGCTCAGAATAGGTGCTCACAAAATGAGTGTTAAATGGTGAATTCCCTGACACCTGAATCAGGCTGCCACAAAAGCATCTCCAGCCCAAATCAGAATGGGAAGGTCAGTGAACTTAGCTACGAGAGTGTAGTGGCAGGGGTGGGGTTATGAATGAGGTCACCTCCTTTGGTACCCTCCAGGCCTGGGCTTCCAAGATGATGTGCCCCGTGAGTGGCAGTAGTTGCTTCATAAACACTGTTTTACTTGACAGTGCCAAGTGCATGTGGGCAATTTAAAAGTACTCTTTGTTTCTGATGATGAGCCTTAAACCCAGAGCATTCTGGGTAAATTGCCAGGATAGGCCCTGCAGGAGAAGGTTGCAGTTGCCACTTCACTTTGTATTTCCAGGCCCTTGGGTGTTGCACCCCAACAGGGAGCGAGATGTTGCCAGTTCTGTCATAGTCATTATAATTAAATCCAAGTTCTGGCAAAGGGCAGTGCATAATTATGAAGTATTATTATGGTTTTTATCATTATTAGGCACCCAGCTGCCCAGCCCAGGAAACCACAGTAGTAAAACACTGAGAAGCCAAGCTTCTCTCCCAGCTGGCATGAATCAAGACCAGGTGTATTGGCACACAGTCTTGCAGCTCAGCTCATCAAGATGAGACCTTCTGTCCCCTCTTTTTGGCAAGATACAAATTTAAATGAATGGAAAGAGGAAATGTGAAGAAGGACCTTTGCCACCACCTCTGAATCAAGTTCCTTTCTTCCCATCTCACCAGAACGGTCTCATCTATGATTTATTGTGTAAATCTTTTTCAGCTTTATCCTTGACCTGCCAGCTTCCTAAACATCATTCCCCAAGGTCTACTGAGGATGTATTAGTTAGGGTGGGATATAGAAAGCAGAAAATTTTTACTTTCAAGAAATTTATGATATGGACTAACTGAGAAAGTATAGTCAGGCTTGACAAGACATCTGCCTTTTATTGAGCACCTACTCAACACCATACTCAGCACTTTCACATATGCTATCTGACCTAATTCCTACCACCCCGCAAAATGGATTTTATTATCCTCATTTTCTTCAAGGTCTCAAAGACTTAGTGTATAACAAAACTGAGATTCCAACATAAATATACAGTTTTGGTGATTGTATACTCATGGTGGATGTGTCCACACTGGTAGATGAATATAGATGTCAGACTTCCCCTCTTTCTACTGAATTAAAAATGGGTACTTTGTACAAAGTAAATTTTAAGCTGAGCACTGAAAGGACAATTCAGAAGTGATGCTGAGAGAATGGTGCCAAATGAGGAAGCCAAATTGGCCATAAGCCTAAAATCAATCAATAAGGACAGATTTCTTGTTCAGCAATGTCATATTATATTCTTCAAGTACCTTTATTGTCTTAGCTACTCCAAATGGGGAAGTCACCCCAGGTGTTACAAGGGTGGGTTGGCGATGGAGGAGGGTGGTTTAGGGAGGGAATATGGTTTTGAATGGAAAACTCCCAAATGGCCCATAAACTGGCACATCTAGCACTGGTTTCTGGAACAGCCAAAACCATGGCAGCTTTCCCTGCTGCCAATCACTTGTTTTTAACTAACACGTGTAGAACAATTTTCCATTCTCTTTTTTTCTAAAACAATTGATTAATAATTTTTTAAAGATTTTATTTATTTATTTGAGAGAGAGCATGAGCAGCGGGGGAGAGGCAGAGGGAGAGGGAGAAGCAGGGAGCCCGACTCGGGGCTCAATACCAGGACCCCGAGATCATGACCTGAGCCGAAGGCAGACACTTAACCAACTGAGCCACCCAGGGGCCCCTGATTAACAATTTTTAAAGACAATTTGTTTAGAACTTACTGTGTCATACAAGGCAGTTCACTTTTATTTTTAGTGCTTTTTAAGAGATTTAAGATTTAAAAAAAAATGCAGTCATTTTAAGTGTATAGTCTGATCTGTTCGGAGACATGTATGCCCTTGTAACCTATCATAATTGTGAAATAGAAATTTCCATCAACTCAAAAAAGTTCCTTTGTGCCTCTTTTGCATAGGAATTTTAATACAATTTGTATTTTTTTCTTTTTTTTTTTAAGATTTTATTTATTTACTGGAGAGAGAGATCACAAGCAGGGGAGAAGGGTAGAGGGAGAAGCAGACTCTCCGCTGAGCAGGGAGCCCGATGAGGGGCTTGATCCCAGGACCCTGGGATCATGACCTGAGCCAAAGGCAGACGCTTAACCAACTGAGCCACCCAGGTACCCCTACAATTTG